TTTATAACTTTATTGTTTATGACATTGAAACCAACACGTGGGAAAAAAGCAGAAATTTGTCAACTTTCAGCGATTGATCAATCAAGTTTGCATTGTTTCAACAATTATATACTGCCATCAAGGGATGTAGATATCCATGCTACAAGAGTGAATGGATTGAGTGTCCGATCAGTCAATGGTCGTCGAACTCTGCTCAAAGAAAATGCAAACTGTCACAAACAAACGAATTGAGCAAAGCGAAAAAGACATTTACACAGTATTGATTGGTCACAATTCACAAGTTTTTGATGCTCCAACTCTTCTTCGCCAAGGTAAAAATCAGCTCTCTGCAAAACTGTCCACTGTAAACGTTTCCTTCGCTGATACCCGGGGGGGGGGTACTCCCCTATATTTGCTATACGGGTATGTGCCGCCCTATAGGGTATGATTTTTCGGCTTTTGGGTCCGGGGTAGGGTATCATTTTTTGACACTTTGTCTGGGATAGGGTATCATTTTAGTCTGACATTGGGTTAACGATTTGGTCGTTTTTGTCTGGCGAAYAGGCTACGCTTTCTGCCGACACAAAAACAATAAAAATGTTAGTAAATATTAATTGCAATCGATTGTAAAACCATATTTTCCTTCTTTTAGTCTGGGATAGGGTGTATAATTCTTAGTTTTAGTCTGGGGTAGGGTATGTAAAATCAAAATTTTAGGTCTGGGATAGGGTCAGGGTTTTGAGGTCATGGCGGCACACCCCTACCCAAGTTGGGGTGGTAGTACCCCCCCCCCCCCCCCCCGGGCGCTGATACTCTCCCGATGATAAAAAAACTCTTACAATCCAAACAATTGGCAGACGGCTCAATGCCCAAATCGAGCCAATCATCCATTTACCAACAACTTTTCAACGAACCACTCCCTTTTCACGATGCATTGGAAGACGTGAAGGCTTTGCGAAAAATTATATTTGACTCTTCTTTGAAGTTTTCTCGCGAAATGTTGACAGAAAACATGAGCGCGTGGAGAGAGATACGAAGTACCTTGACCAAGAGTAACGAAAACCACACGTATTTTGTCCAGAAAGAAGGGGGAGGGGGGCCAGGTGTAAATTTGAAATGTCCAGAATAATTCTTAAGGCCCCCTTTAAAGTCATGCAAAAAAAAAAAAAAANGGGGGGGAGGGCAGGTGAAAATTGAAATGTCCAGAATAATTCTTGACACCCCCCTTAAAGTCTTGCAAAAAAATACGATCCACCCTAAGCAAGGCTTGTAGCATCTTCCAAAAATTGCGCTTCCCCCCATTTTTCTGATAAAAATTGGCCCATACCCCCCTTTTTCCTACCAAAACTTTTCCAATCCCCCCTCAATTTCACCTGCCCCCCCTTTAAAGTAAAAAAAAAAAAAAAAAAAAAAAAAACGACCCCCCTAAGCAAGGCTTGTAGCTTCTTCCAAAAATTGTGCATTCCCCCATTTTTCTGACAAAAATTAGCCCATACCCCCCTTTTTCCTACCAAAATGTTTCCGATTCCCCCTTAATTTAACCTGCCCTCCCCCGCCCCTCTCTGCCGTACATCATAAGCGCAGCCTTATCCTTTGCCAAAACGGCTTGATAATAGTTGTTCTTTGCTCTAAATCTTGACTCGGCACTTGTAAGTGCTATAATGGAACGTATTTTCGACGAGCGCCACACCAACCGCCTATCCAACATGGATCTCAATCCGCTCATGGATCTTGGTCACATGCTCAATCTCACGTGATCCCGAAGGGTATCGAGCTGGTGAGGTAGAATCTTATTTCAGGGATGACACTTACAAGTTTTTCCAACATTTGAAGAGTACCACGAAAGATATCAAATGAAGCTGAATAGAATATGCTTTTTCGTGTTATTTTATACCAACCACATTTTTTTATTTGGTGCATAAACTGCCTAATCTATAGTACGAGTCAACAAAATGACGTTAGTAGTAGCGTACAAAAGTAAACACAAACAGTTGGCTTGAAATCTATTAATTAAACCGTCACAACGCGTCATCATTAAAATTATCATTATTGCTGGGATACCTGTGGTATACCAGCTATAAAATGCCTTTGTTTTTTTTTGTCTTTTTTTTCTCCGCGACAAAATGGCAAAGTTGCGCAATAGTACCCATACATGGATTTAAATGACGTAAACTATTACCCAGAAGACCTTTGCGGGTTTCTGCTATAGGTTTACCGTCTATGTGCTGACTAATTAGCACTGTGTTTGCTGTTAATCAATGTCAATATTTTGCGAAGTGATTAGGAGGGGGCGGAGCTAGATTATCACGTGACACAATTAAATTCTACGCATGCTCTATTTTGCTGACTGCTGTTATTCAAGACTGAGTCGGATTAGAAATTCTAATTTCTTTGTAAAAAAAAAAAAAGGTACAAGGATTTCCAAGAAATATTAATATAATGGCCCGTAGTCTCCTCCACAGCCGCTTTCAGTGTCGTCACGCAACACTTTAGACTAAATGGCCCGTAGCTTATTTTTACGAACTACACATGCTTGGTTCAACTACTGAAAGCAGTATTCTCGGTAACCGAAGATCAGTGCTAATGAAGGAAAACAGCGCTTCAAAAACAAGCCAAGGATAAAGAATTATGCCTTCTTGATCTAAACAAACCGAGCGTATTTCATTCGACTTTCGTACTATTTTTGCAGATTCCTCAAGCTGATTGTCAAGTTACATGAAATGTTTTGGCTCCAAAGACTACTACGAATAAACTTAAAGTACAGAGAAGTTTATTCGGCCTTTTAATATTTTGTTTTTAAATATGAAGTAATAAGAATAATTTAAATAAACGAATATATTTCGCCTATCTTCTTGACCCTTAAGCAGGGCTGTCAACTCTCCCGGATAAGCCGGGAGTCTCCAGATTTTGGACTGTATCTCCCGGTCTCCAGATTAGAGTCTCAAATCTCCCGGATAATCCCCGAAGCTGACCATTTCTTGTGAGACTCGACTTTCACAACCATAAAATTCCAATTATCTTATGTTGTTTGCGTTGTTTTAGATCGCTAACAAAATCAAAACGTTCCTCATAAACTGTTCTTGCAAGCAGGCCATTGTAATGTAAGCGAAAATCTGATTGGTCAGAAATAAACCAATCACATAAAATGTTACAAAGCGAAAGGTGTCTTTTCGCGCGCTTTTTGACGCGCTGTGACGTCATGTCCCTTCCCTATCAATTCTCCAGATTTGAATATCTCGGGGGTTGACAGCCCTGCCTTAAGTCATTCAACTTCTAGCTAGTTAACCTTTAAGAATAGGTCATTCGGGTTTAGAAATATCTGTGAACATAAAAATCTTTAAAATTAAAGCAACTGTGAGGAAAATCTTTGATTTTTACCGTCTTAAGTAAAGAATTTCGATTCACAAATCACGAGTTAGAAAATTCCCGTGTGAGACACTCTTTGCAAAGCGCGTGACCACAGGCACGACTTAATTAGGAATGGAATGGACATGACGGAACTGGAATTTGGACTGATTTTTATCCATACCTTTAATTTTTGGCATACACTTTTTATCCAAAATGATTTTCACTACTTTGAGCTCTTTGAAGCTTTAATAAAAAAATTATTTTTACTTTATCATTGTTCGGATCCATGTCAAAACAACAGCATTTCTGCACAGACCCATATTTCATCTAGAAGTAATACCTAACTTCCGGTCCTGTGAATATATTTGTTGTTCTAGTGATCCTATGGTTTAAAACAAACAGTCTACACACACTCTACCTCTGGCAAAAAATGCCAGGTTAAGACCCCATCATCCCTCCACTCCCCACGACCCCGCATGCACCCGTCCTAGCGTCTTTTTTACTAGGATAACTGTGGTTTACCAGATACTCCATGCATGTTGAAACCAGGTCCTACAGGTTTCCCAGCTTATCCTGGAACCAGGGTCTAGTTAGAAGGTAAAAGCTGAACAAAAATATTTTGAAAACGTTTGTTCACATAAATTTAACTCAAATATATTGCTTGTTTTTAATTTAATCAGAATTGTCAAACTATGATACTGTCAAGCACTCAATCGGAACTAGCAAATTATCATTACAAATTTATTTCAAAATTATTAACTTGGAGCTGATGAAAAAATCATTGTTCGGTCAGAGTGTTTTGAAGAAAAAAAAAATGATTATGATCCGAAGTAAGAGCTTGGACAACATATCAGTATTTTATGAAGACATTTAGTGAGAAATATAATCGAAAATATCAAAGGAAGTTGTTCGACCTTTGACAACTTAACCGTAACCATATATTTTTATTTGTCATTTATCTTATTTATTTATTTATTTTTTTTTTCCAATAGATATTTTACTAGCACAAAGACGTAACAATTTACAATTTACAGTATACACAAAGCTATACAAAACCGTAACCATATGTACGAACATATTCTTCTTGTCTACTTGGATATGAAACGAAACCTAAATCTTATAATTAAGACTTTGAAGAATGTTCTTTCAAATCCTTCTACTATTAATTAAATTGCTTTTTACATTAGTTCCTGATGATCAACGCGTTTAGGAATGTGCTGGCAATTGTTCAAAAATACTTCCTTAC